TAATATTCTAATTTTACAAAAAAGGTAGGTTCATAGAGGTCAAGTGATTTACCGTTGCTAGTAAGTGTGTGTTTGAACTTCAACCTGAATCACCATTCAACTCTACCCAAGAATTAGGGTAACATAATTTTGAAAACAAAGTGGACCTTGCCTAGATTATGGTTTTTATAATTGCCATATCCTCCCTTTCTTCTGATATTATATATGTTTTCAATGTATATTTCTTTGTACAATCATTTTTTCCCCTTTTATCTTCTCTTCCTCTTTTTCCCCTTTATTTTAATATTAGGGCAAAAAAGCTAGAAGAGCCTTATCGCATAAGTATATCCCTTTGCCATTCACCAAAACTCACACCCAACTAGTGTTATTTTACATTAGTTTTGCTTTGAAGCAAGAACTTTTGGTAAATAGCTTTTGTTAGCCAGTTTCATTCTGCTGCCCATTGTCTTAAGTGTCCTGATTTTTCAGTGAACAACGCTTTGGCAAAAAAAGAAGGAATTCAAAACCATTTTAGAATGTCCATTGTAGACATACTAGCATTACTAGTCAGTGCTTCTTCACAGTCTATTTCAGATTAAACTTTTTAAAGAGTTATGGACACATGAACACGAACATGCCTTTTATAAAGGTACCAGGGTTGTGGTCTTCACTGACGTGACAGTCCAGGTGTTGCCGGGCAGCTGTGTCTGGGGAGGTCTCTTCCAGTGCACTAGGTGAAACCTCAGTCCAGGCAGGGGAGGATTCTTGACTCTGATTGAGAAAGAATTCTCAACCAGGTTGGACAATTGTAGGTAAGGAATAAATTCATTAAAGCAAGAGTAGAAATGAATGTCAGCACGTGTGCAGGCAGATCCCTTGCCAGCTCCTAAAGCTGAGGTCACCTGGTGTCCAGTATCTGCTTGAATCTGCATGGCATGGGAACTAAGTCCCTACCACCCCAGGATTTGGGGGAGCTGCAGAACACTGGATGGAATGAGATTATGTTCTGAGAACTTCCACTTCCCTACTGGTGTGAAATAAAACAGGGAGAGAGAAAAGGATTGTGTTAAGACTAGAAAGCTGAATGAAATAGCAAAATGACAAAGACATTTGCCACTGGATGTTCAGTTGGGGAGTTGTCTTTATCATGGAAAGGAGTTCAGACAAGTGCAATCAGCTTATACAACAGGAAAGTTTGTCTGATATAAGACAGTACACCCTTGGACAGACAGGCATGCGAGTGACCTCAGAGGGGAGGCACCCTTAAGGGTTTAGGGTTTGGTATTGTACAGGGTCTTTTGGGTAGGAATCGGTGTAAGGCATGATGTATACAGGTGATTCATGATTCCTTTGAAGTTTTGTCTTAAAAACAGATTGTTTAGGTGACTGTGTTGATCCGGATCTCCTCATTCTTTACCCAAGTAGGTTCATTTACACTTTGGAGGTCTCTCTCTTGTCCTGGTTACAAAGTTACTTAACTGATTAAGGGTCTGGAAGAAGAGGAAGAACAGCATAAAGATTAAGTTAAAGAATACAGTGGGCCTTTTTCACAGGCTAAGTAGGTTTTACAATGGCATGACCCTTGTCCCATTTCCCTGCTCTATCTCACAAGTATGTGTTGATCATGGGTAAACTCTGTGAACATTTTCTCCTGAGTAAGTCTGGAATTACTAAAATAATTTTTCTTGAGCTCTGAACAATCCCAGTTGGCATTAATAGAAAAAGTTTCAATTTTGTTATTTATTATTTCCTTGGCTCAGGCTTCTGCAAAAGTAGAGAGGTCTTTGAGGAATCATTATTTCATAATTGGCTTTTCTTTTTCTCAAAGAGGTGCTGTATTTTGAAAAAATGAGATTGAATCTCTTTCCAACCAGGAGGAAATTTGGTTTGGTCTGGAGATGTATTTCTCTGTCTTACTTTCCTGGTGTAGACTAACAATATTAATTTTCTTTTCAGGCTTATACTACTTAGCCAGGTAAGAAAATCAGGAGTGTAAACCTGCATGTGGTCAGACTCTACGAGGAAGTAGATGATAGTAACACATACAAACTAAACATGACTCTCCGCAAAATGATGGAAGAAACAGTGCCTCCAGCTGGGTTCCATCTATCAGATCTTAAGTTTCTAGTGACTATCTCCAAGGAGTAGGTTTTTCCTCCTGATTTAACCTTCAAATGGCTTCTTCTGATACTTTAATTGAGGTAATGTAGTAGGAAGTCTCCTAGTGCTCATTAAAAAATAAATTTTTTTACTGTTTTCTTACTACTCTTCTTTACACATTTTCAAATCTTCCATTGTACTCCCAACTCTACTTCAACTTACTTACCTGCCTTCTTCAGATAGGCAAGGCTGAGTTACTTTCTGGAATATTAAGATTTGTTTGGCTTTGAACTCTCCGTGTGCTTTTGTTCTGTTCAGACAGCTATCTAAGCAGCTACTTCCTTTTCCAACTCAGTCAATGTACTTTTGAGCAAAATCTATATAAATTATGCTTTCAGGTCACTAATTTCCTGTTCTTTGATAATATAACAACACATGGCAGGCAGTGTGGTATAGTGGTAAGAGCATGATGAATTTTGGTTTCTGACAGATAACAGGTTTCCAGAAGATCCTGATTCTGCCTGGGTATGTAATCTAACCTTTTTGTATTTTCATTTTCTCATCCATGAAACAGACATGATAATACCAACTTGGTAGGATCTTTTGTAAGAGTTAAGTGAGAGAATGTATGTAAAGTTTTTAGAGACTTAGCAAATGGTAGTACTAATATAGTAGTACTATATAGTACTACTAATAGTAGAAGATGATATTAAGAGTATTGGCTTTGGGTCTAGGCTTCCTAAGTTAAAATCCTGGCCCCAACATTAAATGGCTGCATAACTGAAGGCCAGTTATCCAACTCAGTGCTTCAGTTTCTTCATCCGTAAAGTGGCAATAATGAAAATAATAGTATCTATCTCCTAATGAGGATTAAATGATTAAGCATGTATGGCCTGTAGCTGTTTCAAAGTGTCAGCTACAGAGATGACTCTGATGACGGGAGCTCCCCCATTCTCTCTAGAACCCTCATTCTGGATAATTGCATATTTGTTACTAAATCTTCTTTTTCACATTTCTCTTGAATGATCCTTTGGTATGCTCACATAGTCATACCCCATCCACCTATGCCATCTGCCCAGATGGCCTGGAAGTCCATTTACTTTGCATCCAGGTTCAGTTATCTCCATTTTAACATTTTTTTATCCTGCTAAATTTCTAGGAAAATTGCATTGATTTTCAACTGAAATACTTAAAAGCTTTGCATGTAGTAGTTTGATGATATACCTTGTAACTTATCTGGGAATGGGTCTAAGTCAGCCTATCAATTCATAATTGTATTTCACAAAGATACCATTTAATCTTAGGGCCAGTATGTCTACATTCTCCAAGCAAGAGAAGCAGTGACTTGTGCTTATATGAAAAATAAAGTGAAGCTTTATTTGGGAAACCTTTCTGTATATCTTTCATTATCAAGAATTTACCATCTCAGCTGTCTTTTGGAAAGCCAGTCTGTGAAAAGAATAATTGTTATTAATCTCTCTCATTAACAAATATCATGGAGGCATAATGCACAGTGCAGATAATATTGACCATCTGGGCCCAGCAGGGCCACTGAGTAACATGGCTAAATCATTTATCACTTCTGGGAATTGGAAAACATAATGTAGGGAAAAGTTTGGTTTTTTTCCTATTGAAGTAATACAAATAAAATGTGATATTTTTGATGCAATTAATGACGAATACTTTCAAATATAAAATTCTATTAGGCATACTTATTAAAATAGATAAATTTTAAACATATTTTTCAAAGCATCTCAGGTTTTTAATTACTGTGTTTGGCTTTTGATAACTAGGTGAGTTTCTGAAAACTTGCATTTTGTATCTTTGTGTCAACAGAACAATGAAAATGAAACTGCCCTGCACTGCGCAGCTCAGTATGGACACTCAGAAGTAGTTGCTGTTCTCCTAGAAGAGCTCACTGATCCTACCATTAGGAACAGCAAGCTAGAAACACCTTTGGACCTGGCTGCCCTCTATGGACGGCTTAGAGTGGTCAAAATGATCATCAGTGCACACCCTAACTTAATGAGCTGCAACACTCGCAAGCACACACCGCTACACCTCGCTGCACGCAATGGGCACAAGGCGGTCGTTGAGGTGCTGTTGGAAGCAGGAATGGATGTGAGCTGCCAAGTGAGTCTCCCTTTAGCTGTGCTTTAAAAGCAACGATGCTCTTGCTTTACTTGAGGTTTGTTTAAAGTTATATATAGAAGTCTTACCTTTGTTCATAAGTAAAATTGTTGACAGTTATTTTTGTAACTACTAAATTCAAGGCACTGTGCCACACACTTTTGGGAAATGTGAAGAAATACGAGGCATAATCTCTAACCTCAATGTAATTTGAGGGCTATACACATGAAAGAAGTTATTACTAGGGGGTAGTTGTGTGTGATATTAATGGTAATTGTTTCCTTTTTTCCAGTGTCTAGACACAGCCTGATACACACCAGGAACCTAGTCAAAACTGAATGAATGTGTGAATGAATGAATGAATGAATGAAACAAAATTCACTTTAACATTTTGAGCATGTACTTTGTGTTTAATATGTTGACACACTTAGAATCCAATTCCCATAGCTGTCTAGTGGGATTGAGAGCTATTAATTTCCAGTAAAGAGATGAGGAATCAGATTGACAGAATTAAGAATCTTGCCTAAAGATACATACATGATGAGTTCAGAATATGAATTTAGACTTACTGATTCAAGTCCAGGTCTCCTTCCACAATAATGTACTATACTGTCTATACATGATTAAGAAGGAAAGATTATTATGCCTATGGACATTCAGAAAAATTTTATTGGAGAGGTATGATTTGAGTTGAACTTTGAAGGATGGGTAACATTTGGATAGGTTTTGTTTCTCCACAAGGAAAGGACAACCTGCTTTTGTTATGTCTCCAGTTAGCTCCAACTTTGAGATTAGCTTTTATTTTATTTTATTTTATTTTACCATTTTCTCCTTTTATGACTGTTTTTTGGCTCCCAGGTCTCCACAGCATTCTCATCTTCCAGAGACCCCTTTGGTTCCTGCCACATTGTGACCTTTTCTCTTGTGTGTTAGTAAACTTTTGTGTGTAACAAACTATCCCAGTACTTAAAGGCTTAACACATTGCCTGTTTATCTAGCTTTTAATTCTGGGGTTGTTGCTTAGTCTGAGTTTACCTCAGTGGTTCTTCTGTACTGGCTGGGTTCTCTCTGTGTCTGGGGTCAGCTGCACGTTAGGTAAGGGGCTCTGCCTCAGGGAATGGCTGGGTGTCTTTCATGGTCCAGCAGGTCACCCTGGGCTTGTTTGCATGGCCCTGGTATGATTCTGAGAGGGAGAGGGGAAAAGGGAGAAGGGTAGAGAGAGAGATTTTTAAGAGGGAGGATTTGGGAAGACTGATAGAGTGACATTTGAAGAGGACATTGAAAGTCTAAGAGCACCGTAAAGTTTTAGGTGTAATTTGGCATACAGATATCCATTATTTGCCTAAAAGAGTGTTTTAAAGTATTGAATTTGATTGCTTTTAGGTGGGGTGTATGCCTTCCAAGGTCCCAACCTCTCTCTGTCATCTTACATCATTGCCAGATTCATTCCTTTAAATTTTCTACTTGGCTCCTGACAGCATTTGAGTTTGTTACTCATGTATCAGGTGAAAGGGGTGCTGTATCTTTAGGCCACTGTGAACACTTAAACTTGAAGATTTATAGGAAATAGAGCTGACAACATATTTCTAAAATGTCTTTTAATGAGTTGAGTATTCTATTAGATGTAGTTAGTGTTAGGTGATGTTTTGCTTTTGTTATTATTTTTTTGTTCATAGAAAATATTTTCCTTGGTCTAATTTCCTTTTTTGTGTGAATATTTAATTATGTTATTCAAATTAACTGTCACCAAGTTTTCCCATCAGATGTACTATAAAATTTTTTAATATCAAATTTGAAGTAGATATTTGTTGATATTCTCACAGGCTGAAAGTGAATTAATACCAGATAGTAACCGTACATTATTTCAATGGCTTTAATATTCATTAAATTGCTCTAGTTAACCAGTTGGGAATTAGCAGTAATAAAAGTAATACCATTTGGTAAATTACAGTAATACACTTTTAGACTTTAATTACATTCAGAGTATTAATGAATAATTCCATAACATTTAGAGATGGCTTTGGAGAATCTTGTCTTCTCCTTGTAATTGCAGATGTTTTAAGATGTAGCATTTATGGTCATATTTTCCATAGAAGTTTTGTTTTCTGCTTCATTTCTCTCTGAGTCTTTTGAATTATAGCACACATTTGCACTGGTGAGCAGAATAACTTAATTCCCATTTGACTAAATTTCATCTTATATTTGCTTACAAACCCTTTAGTCTTAAAAGATTTCCTAATAAAGAAAATATGTTATTTTGAGATATTAAGAAAGTAAGATTTAGTTGGCAAGGCCGTCTTGAAATTAGCAACTATTTCTATGGATTTCAAACCTGATTTTGGGTAATGAGGTGGTGATGGTGTTGTATTATGCTAGTGCTTTAACTGTTTCTTATGTATTTCTCTTATTAAAACATGAAGAGTTAAAGTGCTAGCATACCAGTAAGCCAATTGGATTTTATGTGAATATTAAAGGAATGAAAGTAAAATTACAGAAAATTAATAATCAAGAGTACAAGTTGCCCTGCTAAGAGCTGTAAAGATGCAAAGTTGAGTGAGGTACGGTTTTTGCCTTTCAAAGTGTTTATAGTGGCAAGGGAGAAATATGTGCCTAAATGGATAGATTACATTTTCATAATCCATTCACTCTTGTACTTCCCCAGCTGATTATTTTAAAATGTCTCCTCTCTTCCCAAAACTTCAGCGCTTCTCTCTCTTTTATCCCTCTGAGATCATGACTGTGCTTTTACTTTGCTGAGAAAACAGAAACAATCATGTTTTTCCACCCCCACGTTTATCAAGGTATGTGTATCCTCTTTCCTTCCTCATTCTTGGAATGAATTTTTTAGGTTTATTTGTAAGGCTCACTCCTCTCTCTTTTTGTGCACTGGGTCCCGTCTCCTCTTTCTATTTTGAATACATTGCTCAGACAAATACTCGCTCTCCCTTTAATGTTTAGGCTACTGTGAACACTTAAACTAGAAGATTTCTAGGAAATAGAGCATGTCCATAAGTTTTCCCCTCTCAACTGTATCATTCCTTTAAGGATACAGAGATGTAATATTTTCCATCATTTTAAAAACCTTTCTTGTGCTCATATTTTCCTCTAGCTGTCATCACCTTTTTCTGCTCCCCTCCATAGCAACATATTTAGAAAGACTAGTTTCCACTCAACTCACTGTATCCCATTTCTTCCTTCCGTTTTCTCTGAAAGCCACCCCAGCTCTCTCACCCCATGACTGATGGGCATCCAGACTCAACATTTCCAAGATGGAGCATTTAGCTTCCATAACCCCTTCTCCCCAAATGTTCCCATCTTCCGTCTTCCCATTTCAGCAAATGGCATCACTATCCTTCTAGTCATTTGGCCTCCCAGCTTCAGGATTTCTTTTACATTTTACATTTAGTCCCTTAGCAACTCCTTTTGGCTTTGTGCTCAAACCAGAATTTCACCATTTTTCACATTCCCTGCACTATGACCACCATTGCACAAATTGTGTCTCCTAACTGGTAGCTGTGGCTCTTCCTTTGCATCTGAATTAGTCTCCTTACGTGGCTTAGACAACAGAAATTTATTTTCTCATAGTTCTGAGGATTAGAAAGTCGAATGTCAAGGTTCTGGCCTATTCTGTTTCTGGTGAGAGCTCTCTTCCTGGCTTGTACATGGCTGCCTTCTTGCTCCCTCTTCATGTGGGCTTTCTTCTGGGCACAAACAGAATGATAGGGGGAGAGAGAGAGGGAGAGGGAGTGTGTGGGGTCTCCTCCTCCTCTTTTAAGGACACCAGTCCCATCAGATTAGGTTCACACCCTTATGACTTCATTTGACCTTAATTACTTCTACAAAGACCCTATCTTCAAATACAGTCACATCAGGATTAGGTCTTCAACATATCAATTTTTTTGGGGGGACACAGTCATTCCATAACAGACTCTCTTCAGTCTGTTTTCAAAAAGGAGCCAGATGTGATCCCATTATTCTAAATCAGGTCATACTATTTTTCTGCTCAAAAACAAAAACCTCCAGTGGTTTTTCCATCTCAGAGAAAAAGCCAGACCTCTTACAGTGGCTGACAGGGTCTTATCTGACGTGGTTTTAGTGTCTCTTTAAAGCCGCTTCTTGCTGCTCTTTGCCATTTTTCACCGAGCTTGAGCCACAGTGGGCTCATTGCTCTTGCTGGGACATGCTGTGTATGCTCCTGCCTTGGGGCCTTTGCCTTCCTGACCCACATGACTTCCTCCCCTACTTCTTCAGATGTCCACTCAGATGTCCCCTGACCTGTCTCTCTCTCATCAGCCCAGCAACTCCTTTTCCTTCTCTTTAAATAACCAGCTCCCTCTAAGGATACCATGTTCCCACCAACCTTCTCAGGCTACCAGGCCCTGTGCTACAAGGGCAAGAAAATTTGTTTACTTCTTTCATGGAGCTGGAAGACTAGTAGGCAAGACAGAAAATAAACACATTAACAAAAAATCATCAATTTCATTAAGGGCTGTAGAGGCAACTTTGTAGAGGAGTGGGAGTAAAGACTTGGGGACGTCTCTTTTAGGATGTGCCCCTTAAGTGGTGGTAGCCTCAGAGAAGAGAGAGATGAAGACAGGGAAGCAGATGGGTTTACAAGGAAAAGAAAATAGGAACAAGAATAAAAATACTCAAGGAGTTTCTAGAAAAAGAGTTCTGTAAAGAAGCAGTTACAAGAAGGATGCCAAGATAATTCATATAATTACATATAATCTGTTCATTTACCATTCTTTAATGGAGTGCCTGCTATGGGCCAGGCATTGCCTACTGTGTGCCAGAGGACAGACGAGTGACAAAACAGATAAAAATTGTACCTGCAAAAGGGAAAATGACACTTTATATAAAGTATGGAGTAAAGGAAAGAGAGCTAGCTATGGGATAGAAGCGTGAAGTAACAGGTTCACAGGAAGATTCTTTGGTTACTGTCTTCTTGCTGGAGAGTGAAAAGATGTGTCCTTTTATGGAGATTGGAAGGGTCAATAAAG